CCACGGTGCCCCCCCCCCCAAGCACCAAGCACCAAGAATACAGAGCATCACTTGCCCCAGCCCCAGACTGAGAGTTCCTATCTATACCTTGTGGCTAATCACCAGTAAGGGACCTCTGCTCTACTATATCACCTTTCAAAGACCAACCACTGCAGTTGTTCCTCCACGGTTCCTTCCCTCCTGATCAGGTCACTGAACCACGTCTCCCCCTCACAACCCCCTCTAGCATCCCTTAAGGGCCTTGGGCTGGTTTTAGTTCCTTTTTCCTTGCCCCTGTTGACAGGAAACAGAACAAAGTTGAGAAGCAGTTTTCAGATGCAGGCTCTGCAGCCCACCCTTGAGAGGAATGAAAAGGTGAGGGTGGAGCGGATGTTGAACCCTGTATAAAAGGATACTTTTGCCCCCTGGGGGACAGAAACTTTGAAACAGGCATTGGTTATAGGGAAGGAAGTGTATGTGCGTGTGTGCATGCATGCACAGGAGGTGGTATTGCAGGTTCTGAGCATAAGCACAGTTGGATCAGACCAGTGGTCCATCTAGTCCAGCATCCTTTCTCGCATAGTGGCCAACCAGTTCCTCTGGGGGCTTCAACAACTTGGCATAGAGGCTGAGGCCCTCATAAGAACTTAAGAAGAGCCCTGCTGGATCAGACCAGTGGTCCACCTAGTCCAGCATCCTGTCTCACACAGCGGCCTACCAGTTCCTCTGGGGGCACCAACAACTGGGCACAGCGGCTGAGGCCCTCATAAGAACTTAAGAAGAGCCCTGCTGGATCAGACCAGTGGTCCACCTAGTCCAGCATCCTGTCTCACACAGCGGCCTACCAGTTCCTCTGGGGGCACCAACAACTGGGCATAGAGGCTGAGGCCCTCATAAGAACTTAAGAAGAGCCCTGCTGGATCAGACCAGTGGTCCACCTAGTCCAGCACCCTGTCTCACACAGGGGCCAACCAGTTCCTCGGGGGGGGGGGGGGCAACAGCAGGGCATAGAGGCCAAGGCCTTCCCCTGATAAGAACATAAGAGGATTGCTGGATCAGACCAGCAGTCCACCAAACCCAGCATCCTATCTCACACAGCAGCCTACTAGTTCCTCTGGATGGCCAACAACAGGGCATAGAGGCTGAGGCCTTCACAAGAACCTAAGAAGAACAAGACCCTAAGAAGAGCCCTGCTGTATCAGACCAGTGGTCCACCTAGTCCAGCATCCTGTCTCACACAGGGGCCAACCAGTTCCTCGGGGGGGGGGCAACAGCAGGGCATAGAGGCTGAGGCCTTCACAAGAACCGAAGAAGTGCCCTAAGAAGGAGAATCTTGCAAATTAAGTTCACAGAAGTTCCTAGTCCTCATCAAAATTTTACCTAGCTTTCTTGCCCAAACATACTAATATTAGTCGTTTACAAAAAGAACATAAGAGAAGCCATGTTGGATCAGGCCAGTGGCCCATCCAGTCCAACACTGTGTCACACAGTGGCCAAAACCCAGGTGCCATCAGGAGGTCCACCAGGAGGGCCAGAACTCCAGTAGCCCTCCCACTGTAGCCCCCTAAGCACCAAGGAAACAGAGCATCACTGCTCCCCCCAGAAGAGAAACTGAATCAGCTCCCTTCCCATTTTCAAAAGCTTCTGCACTTGAAGGAGATTTCTACTCGGAACGGGTGACCAGCTGGTTAGCTGTTTACAGGTCTACTTCGAGAGATCTCTGCCAAAGAAGCTGGCATACAGCCAATCAACATTTTCAAAACATGTGCACTTTCAGAAATGTGTTGTGTTTCATGTATGGTTAATTTAACCCTCCTATGCATGGTAGAGCCAGTTTGGTGTAGTGGTTAAGAGTGCGGACTCAGAACTGGGAGAACCAGGTTTGATTCCCCACTCCTTCACATGCAGCCACTGGTGTGACCTTGGGTCAGTCACAAGTTCTCTCAGAGCTGTTCTCTCCAGGGCAGTTCTCGAGAGAGCTCTCTCAGCCCCGCCTACCTCACCGGGTGTCTGTGGTGGGGAGGGGAAGGGAAAGAAGTTTGTGAGCCGCTCTGAGACTCCTTTGGGTAGTGAAGGGTGGGGTATGAATCCAATCTCTTCTTCCTGTGCATGTAAAAATCTTATGAAGGGAGCTTTGACTTTCGGTAGCTTTTGCCCTGAAAATATTCTTGGTCTCTAAGATGCTCTTGGACTCAAGCCTAGCTCTAAAAATCTGATACTGAAGTCACTACTGAAGGACTCGAGTTTTATCCTACTGAGGGGGAAAAAAACCTGGCAAGAAGCATACAGCCCCATCTCGTCAGCTCTTGGAAGCCAAGAAGCAGAGTCAGGACCAATGCTCCCTCTAAGCTGCGGAGTCCTGTGAGCAAAAATCCTACTTTGTGAGCTACTGCCATTAATGTTGTGAGCGAGCGATTTGGCAGAAGAAGAAGAAGAAGAAGAAGAAGAAGAAGAAGAAGAAGAAGAAGAAGAAGAAGAAGAAGAGGAGGAGGAGGAGATTGGATTTATACCCCGCTCTTCACTTGGAGTCTGAGAGCGGCTTACAATCTCCGTTCCCTTCCCCTCCCCACAACAGACACCCTGTGAGGTGGGTGGGGCTGAGAGAACTCTGACAGAAACTGCTCTTTTTCAAGGACAGCTGTGCCAGAATTATGGCTTACTCAAAGTCATCCAGCCAGGTGCAAGCGGAGGAGTGGGGGAATCAAACCCGGTTCTCCCAGATTAGAGTCCGCACACTTAACCACTACACCAAACTGCGTCAATTAGTTTGCTCCGGAGCCATCCTTCCTGAGCTAAGACAAAAATGTGTGAGCCGGAGGCTAAAAAACTGTGAGCTAGCTCACGCGAACTCAGCTTAGAGGGAACAGTGGTCTCAGTACTTGGAAGGGAGACCTCCAAGGAAGACTCTGCAGAAGAAGGCAATAGCAAACCACTTCTGCTTCTCGCTTGCCTTGAAAGCCCCCCACTGTGGTCGCCGTAAGTCAGCCGCAGCAAGGATTGTTGTTTATACTGCAACTAAAATTATTCATAGACGGCATCTGGGATGTGTGATGATTTCCAATTTTAATTTCCCCGACACTTTGCTTAGTACACAAACCTCCAGGAAGTATGAATTTTAAGTGGCCGACATTCCTTTATTTATTTGTAATATTTATGATCTTAAAAGAAAAGAAAAAATTGTCCAGGGTAACTCGCAGCACAAAACACGCCAATAAAACAATGGAAAACGATCAATTAGCAGTCCATAAAATATTGCCTATTAAAACAACACTGGATGATGAACAAGTATGTTGAGTCATAAAAACAGAAAACTAAACAGCTCTGTACTGTACTTTTAGGACCAATTACTGAACTGTAGGCTGTGGAAGGTTGGTAGTTCAGCAGTTCAAGACCCGAGTGTGCCGTATGACGGAGTCTGTGGCCCCAGCTCCTGCCAACCTAGCAGTTCGAAAGAAAGAAATGGCAAGTAGATAAATAGGTACCACTTCGGTGGGAAGGGAACAGCGTTCCATGTACCTCGGCGTTTAGTCATGCCGGCCACATGACCATGGAAATGTCTTCGGACAGCGCTGGCTCTTCGGCTTTGAAACGGAGATGAGCACCGCAACCCTAGAGTCGGATTCGACTGGCTTTTGAGCAAGGGAACCTTTACCTTTACTTTTTTACGGGGGGAGGGGGGAACCATTGTAGAAAGATACAAAGAACATGAAGCGGGGGGGGGGTTAGGTGGGAAAGGTAATCCCTTTGGGGTCAACTATGACCTCTCCCGGGATGACAGTTTCTAAACAACACCGTTCAAAAGCAATGGACACCCACTATGTTCTATGGGGCTGTGCCATTTTACGCTAAGGATCTTTCTAGCCTAAGGAATCAGGAGATGTTACACTGTCAACCGATTGAAATATTTAACGGATTGATCATCTATCAACTAACCAATTAATAAAAGGTTAAGTAAGTCGGCACGTTCCAAAACACACCGCCTAAATTCCTTTGGAGATACGGAAAGAAATCTACATGTTAATTAATTATTTTTAAAAAGCCACTACTCACTGTTAGAAGGAAAAAAAGCCTTTTTGTTTTACAATAACGTGCACAAACCAAACCAAATGGGACTCCGGAAAGAAAACAACCTCGGTCGCCGCCCCACCTTTTGACGCCTCAGCTGTAGCTGCACGTCAGCGTTTCATGGCAACTTTCCCGCAGCCAGAGAGGATTATAATCATGTTGCCACTCCACCCTCCTGCCAAGTTTTGTTTGCGCCTTTCAAGAAAGCTTTCCCTGGCAGAGGGAAGCAAAGCTTTGTCTGTTAAGCATACTGTGCCACCCTACCTACACATTGTCACAGTTTTCTAAACACCTGCTGACACCTTTAGCCTCCCCTTACCTGCAAAGAGCCCCAGGAGGAGCAAGGAATATAACCGTTGCGGGGCCCCTTCCATCCTGCGATTTGTGGGTTCCTTGCGACCGTGTTCCCCACCACTGTCCTAAGCATCCGTATATCACTCTGATAAGTCTCTGCAGGACTTGTGGGTTGTTTTTAAGCGTAGGCTTCTTTTTCCCCTTTGGGGCAGACATCAGGAGATGCGCCCGGCTGCTCTCTTGCTCCACCTCATGAGCTAAAGAGGCGTGGTTTTTTTTGGGCTTTGCATTTAAAGTTGACATTCTGCACTTGAAACTTCTGCTAACTGGATGCCAGAAAACCAGGCAAGGGGCCCCAGTGCTAGATACTACACTCTCCGATGTTTTGCAAATGAAAACAGAGACCGTCTTGTGTCTTTGTAGAACCCTGGCTTTCACACCAAACACGAGTAAAGTCTCACAAGACTCAAACTTGTAGGAGAACACTTCAGCCTTCCAGCGCATTCAGTGGGTGACCTCAAGGTAGCTGTTTCATTACAAAGGAACTTCAGGAACAGAACGGAAAGGGAAATTGCTGAATTGCACGTTATTACAACACTTGGAACAAAAACCTCCCCAGGACTGAACAGGGATATTGGTTTCTTATCTCATTACATATGCCAACTCATTCAGTCCTCATATATGTATTCTCATACAGAGGGACTAGACATCCTCTGTATTTTAGTATATTTCTTTTTCAGAATAGTATATTAGAATACAAGGAATATTGGAGTGTTTGGCTGACATACACTACGGCCACCTCAAAGAAGAAAAAAAATGCTGTAAAGTGACCTTCACACCTGAGAGGAGTGAATGGAGAGTCTGTCTTATTTTGACATATTTATTGCTTTACAACTGTTGACCTTATAACCTTAGCTTTTTTTTTAGTTTCCTCTTCAAATATCTTAAAACACCGTTACACTTACACGTTAATCTGCTGTTCCGCCCCTGCCTCTAAATTTGAATTTTACCTTCCTTCCAGTGTATTTGAAAAAGTGTGTGTGCCCACAAAAGCTCATACCTTGCCTAAAACTTTGTCGGTCTTAAAGGTGCCCCTGGACTCTAAATTTGTCCTACAGCTAAAACGTGCATGCTTTTTGGCGTGATGGTTAAGAGCGGTGGACTCTCATCTGGGAGAACCGGGTTAGATTCCCCACTCCTCCACTTGCACCTGCTGGATGACCTTGGGCAAGCCACAGTTCTGTCAGAGCTGTCCTTGAAAAAGAGCCGTTTCTGTCAAGAGCTCTCTCAGCCCCATCGACCTCACAGGGTGTCTGTGGTGGGGAGGAGAAGGGAAAGGAGTTTGTAAGCCACTCTGAGATTCCCTTGGGTAGTGAAGGGTGGGGTATAAATCCAATCTCCTCCTCCTCCTCCTCCTCTTCTTCTTCTTCTTCTTCCCTCCCACAACCACACAATTGCACATTGCTAAAGAGGAGGGGAAATGAGGGGAAGGACATCTGTCCCTGGAAAGAGGCCCAAGGGGAATGGCAAGACTCCTTTCCCTCCTCACCTGATCTTATCAGATCTCAGCTTCTAAGCAGGGTCAGTCTTGGTGAGTAATAGCAGGGCTATTTTGGGGCAGGAACGCACAGGAACGGAGTTCCGGCTGGCCTGTGACGCGAAAGCAGGCAATGGCGAACCACCTCTGAACGCCTCTTGCCTTGAAAACCCTATGGGGTGGCCACAAGTTAGCTGTGACTTGACAGTGCGCGCGCACACGCGCAAACACATCGGAAAGAATATGATTTCCAGGGAAAGACCAGCGTAATCCCAGTTAGCAAGGCCTGAGCAAACATGTTTACAATAGGACATTTTGGAGGTCATTCATTCATACGGTCGCCAGAAGTCAGAATCGAGTTGGTGGCACTTAACACACAATCCCAGCCACTAGCTGGAGAAGGAGAAGCCACAAGGACCTTATCCCCCCCCCCAACACTAGAAATGCCAGCTGGCCAAGACAATTAATGTTAAGACCCACTGCTAACAGCCTGCTGTGATTTAAAAGCAAAGATGGTATTGATTCCTGCAGTGAGAGATACACTAAAGCAGGGGTCCCCAACCGTTTTGATCCTATGGACTCCTTTGGAATTCGGATACTGGGTGGTGGCTGCTGTTGGAAGTGAAGGACTTCACACTATCTCTTAGCCTTAGGCTAAGAGAGCCAGAGAGATAGACAGGACAGGACCCTGGTCATCCTTACCTTCTACTGCTCTGATGTGTAGATTGCTACTTTTAGGGAATTGTCTTTCCTTCCGGCCTGACAACTTCTCTCTGTCCACACTATGCTAGCCTTTCTCCACCTTGGCACCATGATGGCAGCACCTGTTTCCTGCATCTCTATCCATACAAGCTAGTTAGACTATATACTGGAATCCTGTCGCTACCCTATCCTGTCTAGAATAGAGTTCCTCACAATAAAGGACTCATATTAGTTTTATAAAGATCTTTTTTTTTCCTCAGTAAGAGTACAAATTTAAAAAAACACACACTGGGAAAAAGGCGTGTGAGAGAGAATAAAACCAACACCGTTTTGGCAGCGGCCACCAAAACAATGTTATTTTCACCTGCACAGCCAGTCTGATCTCCAGTGGCCAATGAGAAGCCCCGCTGGGCAAGAGCCCCACTTGGCCCCATCCACTTTCTGAAAATGCTCAGTGGGTGCCAGGAAAGATGCCAGCGGGTGTCATGGCACCTCCGAGCACCGCGTTGGGCACCCCAACACTAGATAAACAGAATTATTCTGTGGGCAAAATGAGCATCCCTCTCCAGTAGCATGTGCACAGCGTCCCCCCCCCATAGCTAGCAATCCAAAACAGTCCAGTGGAGCCTGAGCGGTGGGTGTTGCCTTCTCACACACTTCTGGTGATGTCAGGGGGTGTGGCCTATGCAAATAAGTTATGCTAATAAGTTATGCTAATGAGCTCCTGCACCTCTTATTCTACAAAATGGCCCCTGGTTTAAAATAAGGATAATTCCCTATTCTCAAACTAGTAACACATGAGAGTTAATACAATAGTTATATAAAAGACTGAGCGAGTGTTCACAAACAAATTTGGTCAGAGTGTATGCTTCTTAGTTCAGGATTATTAGTTCCTGATAATTATCAGACCATTTGAGGCCATTTCTAGCTTTTGTTTCTTGTTAGCATACACAAACCAGATAGACTCTGCCGCGTTATGTGCCTTGAGCGCTCTGCTAAACCCACGAATCCTTCAGGTACCACCACAAAATGGCTGCTGTGGGAGGTGGAGCCAAGTATAAAAATGGCTGCTGCAGGAGGTGGAGCCACACACAGAGGAAGCCCAAGTGCAGGGAGTAAGAGCAGGGCTATTTGGGGGCAGGAACGCACAGGAACGGAGTTCCGGCTGGCTTCAGAGTTGGCCAT